TTTCGAAAATATCTTGAGTTTTTGTTATGTTAGTGGAAAAATGGTTTATTAATGGTTAGTTGTTTTGATGTTTTTATTCCATTAAAGAGTGTGATGAGACATTGAGCGGGAGGAGTCTGATATAGTCTCCTCCTCACGTGGACAGATATTGTCCACGTGTTGCTCAATGTGAAGGGTGCGAAGGAAGTCTGATATAGCCTCCCTCATCACATGGCCAGATATTGTCCACATATTGCTTGCAGGTGGAATATTTGATGAATTGCGTGGATTTTGATATTTGATAGTAATTTAAGATTTTGATTCAAATTTAATGTTTGATTTATGGATTGAAAATTGAAGTAGAAGTGAATAATTGAATGAATATGTAAGTGAAAAAAATAGCATTAGAGTTAGTAAACATATTTTAAAGTTAATAAAAAAAAGTTTTAATTAGTAAAAACCTATTTATCCTAATTTTTTAAGTAATTAGTAAAAGAACAGATTTTAAATTTAGATTTATGAAATAAATGTTGATTATAGAAAAATAAATATTGGTTAAATAAAAAGGATTTTTGTTTCTACAATTTACAAGGAAAGATATAAAATTAGATCCACCTTATGATTTAGAAAATAAAACTTGCAATAAATTTAAAAATGATAATTTAATTAATGATAAAAATTATTTAGTTATTTTTAATAAAGGAAAAGTTAAGTTTTTTATTTATAAAAGGTTTATAACATAATTATATTTAGAAAATACTCAATAATACGCCTGATAAAACACACATTTGTACAAATAATAAAAAATAAATCATAAAATAAATCATAAAATAATTTAGAATAGTAAAAATAATAAACATTACAAAAATTAAAATAAACACAAAGGGAGTTATTAATGTTTCCGTTTTTCATTGTAAGAAGACTTACCTCTTCCTAGTTTTGTATTGTTCTTATTTAGCATTTTTATCCGCCCTAATTGAATAATAATAAAGATAGTAAAGCTAATTTATCATATTAAAATTTTAGTTTCCTAGTGATTATAGTAATAATTAAATATTAAGAAAAAACCAATTCATATAAATTACAATACTTAGAATCACTAGATTAACCATAAAAATTACCAACAACAAAATATTCAAACCATATATAGAAACACTATTAATCACATAAAAGCATTGTGGATGAAATTCCAAAAGAAAAGAAATAAAACTCGAATATTCAAACGAATTAAAAATTAAATTTACATCAAAGAAGACAAAGTTACCAACTTAAAATGTCGTGACCGATTTAAGTTGCTTCCTTTCCTTCTTCTCGGTCAATCCTTCCTCCTTTTTTGGTACAAGAGTTTCTTGTGTTGATGGAGGGCTTTTAGGAGATACTCTGTTGTTGTTCTTCGATGTGAAGAACAACAACTTTAGGAGAACTCTAGTGAATTATTGATTTGCTAATTATTGGTGAAATTGTTGATCACCAAAATTTTATTGATGGAGACTTCAGGGTTTCTTTGTTGTTGTTCTTCGATGTGAAGAACAACAATTTTTAGGAGAACTTTAGTGAGTTGTGGATGATTATGAAATTGTGGATGAAAAATAGTGTTAAATAGTGGTCTATTTATAAATTTGAAATTAGGTTAAAGACACCCCAAAAAGGAAATTGTTCACACCAAGAAAAGTCCAAAGTTTATGATTTTATCTTGGTCAACAAGTCTACAAATTCTGACCAATGAGAAATCAGTTTTCTCAACATGTGACCAATTAGAAAGTGACAAATCATGTGATTTTGTTGTTTTTATATTTTATATAATTTTTGGTTATTTTTTAATTAAAAATTGAAAAAAAAAACTATTTTTGAAAAATTATTAATTAATAAATACAAAAATTATAATTTAATAATAAAAAAAATGATTTTTTGGGAAGATTTATACCAATTGAGATTTGATTGAAATTTGGTGGACAATATTATGAATCTAGACACTTTTGAGATTTTTTTCTAAATATTGTGATTGATTTTGTATTAATAAAAATTGGTTTTGAAAGATTTCAATTATTTTTAACATCTTAACTATTAAGTGTATAAAATCAAAGATTTAAAAAAAATAAAAAATAATTTTAAATTATCTTTAAAATAGAAAACGAAAATAATAATAAAATAATCAAAAAATGACTTTTTTTATCCTTTTTATTGAAAAACACAAAAAAAAATATAAATGCTAAAAAAATAATGAGACTTGAACAGAAGACCTTCAACTTGTAAGCCTTACTCTCTTACCAATAGTGCTACGTTATTAATTTGAAATAAAAAGTCAATTGAAAACATATGAAGACGATCAATTATTTTCCATTTAAAAATATAAATAATTTAAAATAAATTATTATATTTTTAAATTAACTCGAAAACAAATATTTACAAAACCCCAAAATATAAATCAAAAGTATTTTATAAAAATCAAAGTTAGAAAATAAATTTGATGGTAGCACTCATGGTGGGCAAATTTGGGATATGACGCGTCTCAGAGTTTAGAAAAATTTGATGGTAGCCTTCTCAAGCATACAGACTTAACACCTAGTCACTTGAGGAAACAAATCTCAACAGATTTACAATCAAATGTTTACAATAATGCTTCTAAAAAGTAGATTTAACACTACAATGAATAACAAATGTTTACACACAAATATGAGCAACAAATCTTGTGTATACAATAATGATTAACACAAATCTGAGCAACAATTCTTTGTGTTTTCTCTTGAGAAAAAATGTTAACACAAATATGAGCAACAACTCTTTGTGATACTGATTTAAATAATATTTCTCACTTGATGATTTCTTTAAACAATAGTTTTTCTTTGTTTCAATATTTCTTCTCTTTTTCGTTTATGTTCCTTCTTGTTCTGTTCGTCATCTTCTTCAATGAAATAGTTCTCTTTATATAAGCTGAAAAAGTAGACCGTTGAATAGTACAAAATGTCACTTTGATTTGCCAGCAGCTACAACTGTATAATGAGATTGTGGGAGACAAATTACTGTTGTCGTACAATGTAGTCTTCACCATTGTGGAGTAGTACAGTATTGTTGTACTACAATCTTCTAGTGCATATTTATGATCTTTTTTTTCTGATGAGATACTTCTGAACTGAAGTAAAGATGAGAGAGCAGAAGAGACCACATTCTTGTTCTTAATATTCTGATGGATTATTTCTGCCGTGAAATGATGATTAATCCAGATGACGTTTCATTGTAATGTTTCCAAAAGTATCAGATTTCCAAAAGTATCAGAGTTTTCAGAGTCAGAACCTCGTCTTTAGACTTGGAGCAAAACTTATCTGAGAAACAAATCTTGATTTTTGAGTTGGAAGCAAAAGCTTATCTGATGAACAAATCTTCATATCTGAGCTTGAAGCAAAAACGTATTTGATGAAGCACATTTTGATTTCTGATCTGAAAGCAAAAACTTACACATAAATCTTTTTCTTAGAAACACATATTGATTTCTGAGTTGGAAGCAAAAGCTTACATGAAAATTCTTTTCTTAGAAACACAACTTAACTTCTGAGCTTAATGCAAAAGCTTACACAAAGATCCTTTTCTTAGAAACACATATTGATTTCTGAGCAGGAAGCAAAAGCTTACACAAAAATCCTTTTCTTAGAAACACAACTTGACTTCTGAGTTGAAAGAAAAAGTTTACACATAAATCCTTTTCTTAGAAACACAACTTGACTTCTTGAGCTAAAAGAAAAAGCTTATCTGAGAAGCACATATTAGTTTCTAATCTGGAGCAAACACAAATATTCTCTTCTAGCGAACATTCGACATTCATCAGAACTGCTGATGTTTCTTGAGAAGTGAATACAATAATTCTTCTGATGGTGCCAACAATGATTCTAATGATCTTATACTGAATCAAATAGAATATTATTTCTGCACGCTTAAAGAAACTATTAGAACACAAAATTATTGCATATAAAATATATGCATTGTTATCATCAAAACTATAAATCAGCTGCAGAATCAAATCTTATTCTAATAGGTCAATGGCTTCTCTATTTACTCAATAACTTTCAGATACTACATCAAATGCCAATCATCATCTATTGCGACAATAAATCAACTTTATACATAACTGCAAATCTAGTATTTATGAAAGAACAAAACATATAGAAATTAATTGTCACATGGTTAGAGATAAAGTTCTAACAAGTGTGGTGAATCTAATACTTATTACTTTAAAGGAGTACTTTGCCGATATACTCCAAAGTTATTGCATCCGGGTCCATTCAACAATCTTCAAGCCAAATTAGAAAAAATTGATCTACATTGTAGCTCGAGCTCGAGGGAGATGTTAAATGTAATGAAGAAAAGAAGAATGTTGTTAAACTTGTTGATAGAGATTCAAAATTGAAAAATAGCTAACTTCAAGTTAGTTACCAATAGGGTAGGAGTTAGTTACAATTACTTGATATATAAGTACCCATACACTCCTGTATCAAGAGAGATTTTTGAGTAATGAAAAGCTTGAATACCATTTTCTCTTATTCATCTCAATGTTTTTACTTGTTTAGATTGAATTTTAATAAACTATATGTGTAAAAATTGAATAATTACATTCCAGTGCGACTCTAGAAATAACTTCATATAGCACAGTGGAAATACTTAATAGTATGAGATAGTATTTTGAGCTCAACATAAGATTTTCTACTATTAGCAACACACTTTAATGAATATGGGTCGTTCGATTTCAAATTGATGGTGAAAATTGTCTTAATATATGTAATGTATCGATCAAAGACTAGTTCGTCATGTTAATGCCATTTTAATGATTAATATTTGAGTTGAATAAACAATGCATGTTACGTACTATATATATATGATATGATAATGATAAACTTAATTTGAATAATCTAGAATAAAATTGTATCAATATTATACAGGAGCTATCTCCTTCATAATGTAATGGTTGATTACAAATTCATCACTGCTCTAAATTTGTTACATCAACTTATTATCATTTGCCTAAAATTCACTCAGTTCCAACTGAACCTATTCAAATCAAGTTGTTTACAACTTGTAGCACCTTCATTATTATCTCCACGACTGTTTAGATCCAATCTTGAAGCTGAAAAGTAATTAGAAGGTTGTTGAATCTTGTTATTATCATCCATTGGTTTCATTGATTCTGTTCTTGCAGTACTTCTGTGTTGAAACTCACCAACATCTAAGTGATTTTGTTCAACTCCAATGTTCATAGACAAGTTTCCATGATTTCTTTCTAAAGGGGTGAGAAAATTGCTGTTCTTTTTCACTTCATCAACACACCATTTTAGTACTTCAGTGTTTCTAAGGTTTTGCATAGAAGCAGCTGCTTCTGATAATTGTTGTTCTTTTCTTTCCATGAACGCATGATTATTGTTGTTGTTATTGTTGTTGAAGTGTCTTAAACCAAACCCTCCATTTTGAATGATCTCGTGTTCCTTTTGTGATCGTTCGCTCGATGTTAAGCAGCTACTGTCCATCGAGCCGTCGTTTGGTTGGTTTGTGATTTGTATTTGTTGAGGACAAAAACCTTGTAACTCTTTCATTTCTGAAAATGTTGAGTTTAGACACTGTGAGGATACTTTTGATACAAGCTCTGAAAGTTGAACTTTTGCAGCTTCAAGTCCTACTATTCCTAAGTTCTGTCTACCAAGTGTTTCTTGAGCTTTCTCAAGCACTGATTGAAGGTATTTTCCTTGTGCCTCTATCCTAAGCTGCAAGTGTCTTTGTACCTGTAAAAGATTTACAAATTGTTTCTTACTACTCAAGAAACAAAAATTGAAGAGCCATTGGATTGTCTAAGAACAAAATTAATGTGTTTGGATCTTCTGCAGCGACTATAGAACTATTAGATACTAAGATCTAACAGTTCTATAGCCGCTGCTGAGGATCTGATGTATGATCCAAAATTAATATGTTTAGATTCTCTGTAGCGGTTGAAGAACTATTAGATCTTAGATATAAAATAAAAGATCAACAATTTCGCGGTTGTTAGAGAGGATCTTATATGATCTAAAACGAACATGCATATATTAGTTAAGTTGCAAAGACTTACCTCAAGTTGTTCATTGAGCCTTCTCTGAACCTCAATCTGCATTTGCAGGGCCTCGCTTATGTGTAAATCTCTACCAAAAGGGCTACAAAAGTTAGCATAAAATCTTAAACAAGATATCATGAAGAGTGTAATCAAAAAGAGTTTTGTTTATCTCACTTGTTGTTGTTATTAGGTTGCGGTCCAAGGGTTAATTTATTGATGTGAGTTCCATTGGTTTGATCAGAAAGCCTCTCATCAGTTCCGGAAGCCGAATGTGTGTCTGATGAATATAAAAACGTATATGTTGTCATAAAATAGCTCTTTGATTAATTAACTTTAGATTTGAAGAAATGAAAAAGATTGTTCTCTTACTTATTTTGTGTGTCACGTTATTATTGTTGCTTTGTCCATGCAGATTCTTGCTCAATCTATACTTCTGGTGACAAAAATGATAACATGATGATCAGTAATTGCACCATACAAACTAAGGTAAAACGTGATTCTTAGTTTGTGGCTTTATCTAAGAAACTGACACTGACACAAACATCAGACACATATCGACACTAAATCATTAAATGGTTTTGATATGATAAAAATCATTGATGTTATTACCTGAAGATGGCTCTTTAGATGATATAAGGTAAGTCCCGGAATTCCCATGAGTTTCATCACTGTTTTTGGAGTAGCTTCTGCAACAGAAAGAAGGTAATTGTTGATCCACACAGTACGTATGTATGTATGTATGTATGTATATATGTATGTATACTTACTGTCAGCTCCACCTAACTGATTGACAGCTTCTATAAACCTTGCATGAAGATCAGGTGTCCATTTTAATCTAGGCTTAGCATCAGTTGAGAGAACAAGTCCAGAATCACTAGATCCATTTCCTGTTTGAAGAAACATGTGCCTCTCAGATGGTATTGACATTCTTGAAGAAGAGAGAATATTTTTTGCTTGGTGATGATGATGATACATGCTGTATGGTAGATAGAGTAGAGCCTTGTTTTGAAGTGTTTTTTGAGGTTGATAGTATCCAATATAAGAGAACTTTTGAATGTTTGTTTTGAGCTTGCTTGGTTCTTTTCAGCAGAAGTCATGTTGAGACTTGTATTTATATACACAAGAGATGTTGAGCCATGGAATCTTGAATAGAACCAATTGAAAATTTAAAGTTAATCCTTCTCTAAGGGGTGACCTTATGAATAGATACTATTCTTTCCTACTTTTGTTCACTTGTGGGGGCCATTTCTCAACTTACACTTTCCATTCTTAGATAGTGCTCTCCATTTTAGCTTCAACAATTTCTATCTCAAGTGCGAGTACATCCATTCGTTAGACATACACTCTTAAAGCGGAATCTCTTTGATCATCGTTGACTCAAATACTATCTAATTTTTAGTATGATTTCCGATACACGAATTTAGTCACTTTTAGTTGAACTAATGACTCTGATACCACAATTGGATGACAAGAGAAGTTTAAAGTCATAAAGTATAATTACATTGAGCTAAGAGCAACCACTCAAATCGTCTAAAAATCACGTCTTCACTCAAACGATAAGCTCGTATTCGCGGAACCGTTCTCATTTTCAAATTTTCAGCATAGTCTTTTTAATGTTTGAACTTAGCCTAATTGTCAAATTCTATGAGAAAAATATTTTTTATGTTTTTTATTTTTCTTACACTACCTTTATGCACTAATATTGTGGGTTTGAGGTGCATGAGTTGTACATGAACTAAAATATTTATAATATAAAAAAAAAAAGTTATATGCAAATATCAATTTTCCAAACTGCATTAGGTTCCAGAATAGATCCTTGAAATTTTAACCCAATATGCATATTTATTCTTTTGCCAGATAAAAGTGAGAATCATATGCTAAAATTTTGAAAGAGTATATATTTGTTTTCTTCTTTTTCATATTATATAACTTGGTTCTCAAGAATCTGATATCCTCTCTACTTGGAACAGCCAAAACCCATCCTTTATTTTTGTTCTAGAGAGGAAGATTCTAAGAACTTATAAGCCTACATATTTTGTTATTAATCTTGCTGTCATTTTTACAAGTCCTGCACAATGCTATGATCTATAGTAAAGTCTTGAGAAAAAGACATAATATATAAATTGGATTCTATTGACTAAACCATCATAACATGCAAGATTGGATATTAACAAAAGAAAGATGCTTGCAATATTGGAGTGTTTGGAGGTAAAAGAATAGAATAAGAACACATTCTTTTTTGTCTCCTTCAATAAGTTTGGTACTTATTCAGCTTGCACCATTTAAAATATAAGTAAGATGGACCCTAAACTTTTAATTCTTTCTTTGGCACAAAAACACAGTCCCTATCCTTTGGAATCCTAAGCAGCCAGGACTTAATAAAAAAAGGAAAGATAGAATTGTACTTGCTTTTATACTTTCATCGTTTTGTTAAATACAGTAACAGTACTAGTTCATGTTAATGCATTTATAGGACCACTTATAACCTTGCATTTGACTTGTACCATAGTTAATGTAGCTGATTCTTAATGCAAGAATAAGTACATTTCTAACTATACTTATATAATTATTATTTTTTTTTGTATATAGATTTGTTCTTATCCTTAGACAAGTTCCACTAAATGGCATATACCATGCTAAACCACACTAAGAAAACAATTTTTTTAAAAATGTATTAGAATCTGATTCAGTTTTGTTTAAAACCATGCAATCTATAAGCATTGCATGTGTCAATTGCATGCAAATCTTGATTATTCAATTTGATAGATGTTATGTTATTACACTGTACTATTATTGTTGATTGATTAAAATTCTTCTTCCAATAATCTGTCATCATACACAACATATAGAAGTAGAGGGCTATTAACAAAACCATATCTGAATAAACATATTATATAGGTACAAAAAGTTTTATAATTAAAAAATATGTAGCAAAGATTCCTTCAACAGTATCTTGATATCACTTCTTCTTGTTGTTCTTGTTCTTGATTCTGATATTTGAGAATATTTAATGCTGCCAAAGAGAATCATGAGAGACTTTAGGCAAAGTTAAAGTTAAGTTCCTAAGTAGTTTTCTTGCATGTGGATTGGAATAATATGGGCAAGAGTATTGATTAATTTAGTACCTTTTTTTCCCTCGAATTTTCTCCTTAAATGGACTTGCTACAACCACTTGTCAAGAGCATTAATTCATAAATATTCATTCATAACAAGGTAGTTATTAGTTATTAGAAAAGAATAAAGAAAACCAATTAACCTTTGTGGTAAAGTAAAGTCCTAGTTTTAGCCTTGTCTGTTTAATTTTATATATCCTTGTTGACCATACAATTAGAGGCTTATTTTTGGGTGTGTTAATGACAACTAGTTAGTATTTTCAACTAATAAAAATTAACCATACATAGCCTGATCTTATTCTGTTTGGATTTATATAAGAAAGTTTTGGAAACAAAAACCATAAATGGAAGAAATTTGTTTGTGCAGGTTTGATACATAAATATACAATGTTGATGCTTTTAAAGAACAAAATTTCCCATATTAGTAGTCATCTTTTACTTTATGCTAGCAAACTGCCCTTCTACTTTCAAATCTTTAGCATCTTTAAAAGAGTATGTGTTTGTACAGAATAGAGGGTTACTTATTTCTTTCTAGGAGAGTATCCAATTTGGCTTTACCTTCCAATATAGTGGATGTCCCACCCTCTCTCATATGGGATATATAAATTGTTATTCTTATTACTATCTACTTTTCCTATCATACTTTGTTCTATGTATTTTTTTTTTTAATTATTTAAAAGTATTTTTAATTTAATTATATATAATTTAATTTTCAATTTCCATGGTATATGTTTTTTATGTTTAATTTTGAATTAGAGAAAGAATAGTGTTAAGATTTATTCCGTTATGAAACTAGAATTGATAAGAGAACAGAGGTTGTGAGATACAACGGTGAATTTGAGCTTCCGATGTGGTGAAAGAGGAGCTGACATGTAAGGTTAACACTTCAACACCAAAGACGGTATGTGAGTGAAATGAGTGAATGAAATTTAAAATTGAAGTTGTGTACCTGGAGAATGGTGCACTTTCACTTATATAGTGCAACAGCTGTAACCATTTTCTATTTGTCAGATATAGAATATAGGGAGCCGCTGAATGTATCTTGGACCTAGATCTCATATGCTCTTCCCAAGGGTAATGCCCCTATGCTATAAGCGCTTTGAAGAATTGTTGCCTTCTCTAGGCCGCGGTTGTTGGCCCTTCTGGTCGGTCCAAAATAGTTGTCTCCCGGATCTTGACTATACTTGGCAGTGCAAGGGCTTGTGTCAGATTCACCCTTTGTCTCGGCCACTTCCCGGTTGGTATGGAAATTTGCGTCATAAATGTGCCACATGCTACAAATGTCTTTTTGTAGGTTCTGTCATAATTGTATTTGGAAACTGAAATACTCGAGTGCTTTCCTAAGGCGATTTGGAGTGTTGATAATGCTTACTTTATGGTAAGTCATTACACAATATCTACAGAGTTAGTTTTGCAATTTCTTGAGACATTAACTTTGCTTCTTTATCACATGTATTTCTACAACATATTGTCTTTCTCTAATTGAAGAAAATAATGTCTATCATGATGAGTCAAAAATCAAAAGAAGATATTTTTGCTTTTTAGATTGATCCCGCCACTTCATTCATTGTTTATGTATTTTCTCTAGAGGGTAACCTTGATAGAGCTTTTCTAGAAGTAGGCCCTTCTTCGAATTGGGGTGTATTGACCCCTGATAAAGATAATAGGATATGTAGTGAGTATGGTGAATAATCTATTCTCTTCTACAAGTTTATCTTCTCGATTATGAGTTTTAGCTCACCTTCAAAGACTTTGAAATAGAGATTTTTGAAATTCTGGTATCAGATATGTGATGTCGAATAGATGTCACGACACAAATATATGTTTGCAAGTAAGGTGCGGTAAAATCAAAAGCAGTAAAAACACAAGAGATTATTCTCCCAGTTCAGTGTACAACAACACCTACTCTGAGGACTACCAAGTCAGAGACAAGTTCACTAAATAGTATCAATTCATAGACCCTTAGTAAAAAACCAGTTTACGATCTAATCACTTAATCACTACCCAAGCAAAACTTCTACCTAAGACTCACCTAGGTATGGGGTCATCCTCAAATCCTTTCAATCACTTACAGTGAAGAACTTAACAAAATTAATAAGTTTGAAACACTTCAATCATTCAATGCTTAAAAGCTTATGAATGATACACAATTAACAACCCAAATAACAGCTCAAGTATTTAAACTAATACTTAGAGTGTATTACAAATAAAAAGCCTAAACTTCTAATCAGAAAGAAAATATTTTTCTTCAAAAGTTGTTTGTCTTTGAATAAGGAAGCAAGTCCTTATATATGCGCAACTGTGAGATTAGGCTTAAAATCAAATATTCAAATCTTTTGAATATTTCCATAAAAACAGGACAAGATAAAATTATGCAATTTGAAAAATATTCCTCCATATTTTTCACAGCCTGTAGGTAACAAATTCTGAATTATAGAATGCTGAAAATCAGGAAACAAAAAGACTTAACTGATGTTGGGCTGAGATGAGTTCAGTAGGTAGATTTTAATACATCTGTTTTGACATCATTCAAAACAGTTTTGCTCCAAATGTTAAGACATTTAGCAAAATATTAACAAGTCATTTGTTTTACAAAAAGTGATGCCAACAAACACTTACAAACTCCCCCTTTGGCAAATTTTGGCTAAAACAATATTAGAGTAGATTATCAGAGCAGCAACACAATTATCAGAGCATTATCAGGGAAGCAGCATAAGCAAAGCAATCAAAGCATACATTCAGTAAGCAGTTAGATGTTAGAAAAAGGAAGATGTCAAAACATCTTCTGAGACATGAGGCTCCCCCTCAACTATTAAACTCCCCCTCAATCAATGGTCAGTGGTCAGTGGTTAGTCAGTCACT